GAGTACTGAAAAATTCAAAGTTAATTTTCTTAATTTTTGCCTTAATCTTCATTACAGACTACAGGAAGTGAAGTTTAACTTCAGTATCTGAGGTTTAGAGGGTAAAAAGTCTGACCAGATCCTGTGGGACAAGAACAATGCTTTTGAGCAGGTTGAAACAGCTGTTTGTGCTGCTATAGTTTATGAGGTATTAAACGTTATAATTTCGGTCGATCACGTGACTTGGCCTGATATGTTTCCATCTGTGACAACGGGGCCAAGTCACGTGATTTAATCTGCTGATGGTAAATTACTATTGTTTTGTTTAGACTTCTGCTTTATTTGTAATGATAAAACTTTAAATAAAAACTTCTTTCTAAAGTTACAGAAACAAGGCCTTAGCTGCAAAAGAAACTCTCTCAGGAGGGAAATATTCACACATGGCGCCCTCTTTTGGTGATCGGAGGGAAGTTAAAGTCCCTGAGAGGCAGAGGGAAGCAGAACAGGAGTCAGTGGATATTTTCATTTAACTGCATGAACAAAAACACTCATCAGGACTGGATGCATTTCTCCATTTGTTTCATCAAAAATGATATTTATAAAGTTGAGTGTAGCATATTTTTTTTCGAGATACAAGAAACCATTTCATTCAGCCAGCACTTAAAAGAAGGAGGTGACGCAGATATCCACTCTGTGAGAATGACACGTTTAGCTACAACCATCCCAAATGAGAGAGCCTGTCGCACAGGCAAAGAAAGAGTAGTGTAAGAGTCAGACAACCCAAACAGGGCAGTGAGACAGTTTGAAGTAATTTGCAGTCCATACGCAACTCGGTAAAGCGAGAAAATATCAGACCAAAGAGTAGTCAGTTTATGGCAGTGCCAAAACTGGTGTCCAAGGGTGGCATTAGGGCATCCGCATCTGTCACAAACACTTGAAAGATTTGGAAATATTTTATTTAATCGTACTTTAGAGTAGTGCAGGCGATGTGCCACTTTAAACTGGATTAACTGCAGTCTAACGTTAATACAACAGTCTCTCCTTCCCATCGAAATTTGGTCCCAAAGTGCAGCAGAAATTGAAACTCCAAGATCTTTGGCCCATGCATCTTTAACGTGAAGGGATTATGTACGTGCAGAGAAAACATTCACAAACTGTGAAACAAGATGTCTGGAAGTGGGAGGTTTAACAAGAAGATCATAGAAGATATGCTGCACTGAAAGCTGATTTGAACCCAAACTAAGTTGGTTTGCAAAACTCCTAACCTGTAAGTAACAAAAATATATATATTTGGGGTCAAATCACATTTAGATTGCAACTGTGGGTATGATAAAATCTTTTTATTATTAAAGAGGTCCTTGAGAGAGGAGAGGCCCCTATCTGACCAGGATCCAACAGACCGGGCTTAAAACAGGGGTTATGACACAGGGGCACATAAATGGACAGGTTTGGCAGTTTTAAAGGAGACCAATTATGGGTCATAGAAATGTTTATGGTATGTCTGTGGGCTATCCAGACCATGTTCATTCAATTTAATGCACAAAATAATTCTCAGATAATAAAATTTCCCATTTTCTAGTTCTGCTGCTCTGACTTCTGTTCAGAAGAGCTGTTTATGTTAATGAGCTCTGTTGGTAACGCCCTCCAAAGATCTGTTGACATTAACTCCGCCCTCCAAAAATCTGTTGACATTAACTCCGCCCTCCAAAAATCTGTTGACATTAACTCCGCCCTCCAAAGCCAGCGTTTACGTTAGCATGGCTAATAATAGCAGAAGCTCCGTTGTACAACCTCTCCTCTGCTCTGCGCTCACTCTGCATGCTGTTACCAGAGCAGGGAGCAGCAGCGGTCAAAATACCTCAGAAACTCAAACAAATAAGCTTTAACAAGACTTTAATAAGATAAACAATAGAGGTACATGAGAAAATGTGTTCATAACGAATGAAAATAAATGATTAAATTGTGTCTGTGCTGGTCTCAAACCCTGCTCTCTGGTCCAACACTCTACCCATTACCCTATTGGAGGCTTGTTGTGAACTGAGCTACACATTACACAACAACACGGTGACGACTGTTTATACTGAGGAGGAGGAGTCTCACCTGGGGGTTGTTAGGTAAGGGGCTGAACGCAGGTTCTGGTGGGTTGTCGTACGGCTTGTGACATCACAAAATGWAGGAAGTATAAAACTTGTCVTTAATATACATTAAAAATACATTTACTTACAGTAAATATGCCCCTGGGTGCATTTTTTTGGTCCTAGGACTGTTTTTTTAAGAAGTACATACCCAAAGTTGAGTAAAAAAAACTTTAAAAAGTGAATTTTGCACAATAGGTCCCCTTTAAAACTCCCTTTATTTGTGTCAAAATCTTAAACGAGTTCCTGTGTGTGAAATCAGAAGTGAGCCTCTTGAATTGAATATCAGGTTTAGAAAATAATATCGCAGGCAGAGAGGCTGAAATTTGTTTTAACTAATTATGGGATTCAATCTGAGGCCAACCAGAGCAAGAGGCAGCTGAGAACCCCCCAGATGTTCCTGAGGTCCAAATGTCCAGGTTCTCACATTACAAGCCCAGTAATGATGCCGAAAAACTGGGAGACCAAAACCACCATCCTCTCTATAGCCTTCTGCAAATGTACCTTAGAGATCTGGGAAGGTTTGTCTGCCCAGATAAATGGCATAATAATTGAATCCCATGTTTTAAAGAAAGCAGAAGTGAGAAAAATAGGGATATTTTGAAATAAATAAATAAATTTAGGGAGTACTACCATTAATGTTAATATGACCGATTAATGATAATGGCAATAACCTCCATTTGTCAATCCATTTCTTGAGTTTAGAGAGTCCAAATAATTTAACTGAAAAGGCAGCTTAAGATCTACAGGGATAATGATACCGAGGTAAACAAAATGATCAACGAGAGACTTTAAACGGCAAGCTATTCAAGAACCCAGAATCAAGTCCATCAGACAAAGGCACAAAAACAGATTTAGTCCAGTTGATAGTAAATCCAGAGAGCTGCCCAAACACTATGTAGTAAATCAAGGAGAGGGGGAAGAGAGACTTTAACGTCACTTAAAGTTAGAACTACATCGTCTGCATATAAACCAATGACATGTTCTGATGCACCACACGTGATACCTGAAATATGTTGGTTAGACCTGATGGCAACAGCCAGAGGTTCTAAAGCTAAAGCAAAAAGGCATAGGAGACAGACAGCCCAGTGCCAAGTTCCAGTAAAAAGGCAGGTGATCTATGACCATTGGTTAGTACAGATGACCTCATAAAGCATTTTTATGAAGGACAGAAATTTTGTGCCTAAGCCAAATCTTTTGAGAGCAAAGAACATGTATCCCCAATGTACCTGATCAAATGCCTGCTGGGCATCCTAAGATATAATAGCAGAGTCAGTAAGAGTGGAAGAGTTCATAATGTTTAATAACCGTCTCGTATTGAGACTTGCTGACCCCTGTGCCTTTGTGAGAAACTTATTAGGACGTAGGGCATTGGGATAATTTTCCTTTATCTTTTGTATTTTCTTCCACCCATCTATCCATCCATCCATCCATCCATCCATTTTCTTCCGCCTATCCGGGGTCGGGTCGCGGGGGCAGCAGCTTCAGAAGGGAGGCCCAGACC